CGGGAATGCAGTCTATCTCTATTCTTCTTCATAATAAAGAATACGAGCCTAGATGAAACTTTTTCATTTTACCAGATTAAGATTGATAAGAAAAAGAGAAGGGTGGAGTGTTGGTGTGGGTGTGGGTCTGTTCATTCAACCAGACATGGGGTAGGGGTAGGTGCGCTGGCAATGTCAAAAGTAAAACATTTACACACCCGTACCCACACTCATAACCTATTTCTCCACGCAGTAAAATAATGACTGGATTATTCAACTATTTAGACTAAAGAGCAAGATAGAGCACTTTTTATGCTAATTTTAGTCTATTTTCAACATTATTTCATGTCGATCATTTTCTATTCACAATTCAATTTCAAAATTGACTCACTGAATAAAACTATATCGAGTAGAATATAGAAGAATAATTTTTGATGATGAACTTTGCGTACCTCTTCCATTTCTAACTGTACTAATATATAAGAGATGTTCGAAGATAAATTCATTTAGAAATAGAGCAATCATTTGATATGAAGCTTTGAGTATTTTTGGTACGACAAAATTAATAGTTACATTTATAAATTTCAGTTTGATCAGTGAAGCTTTCATCTGAATTTAGGGTTCGATCAAATCATCTTCTCTATGATATGTATGGACGAAAATTGAAAGACAAGAATCAGTCACTTTTAAGCGGGAATTCTTCAGTTAGTCACAACAATCAATTGATAGTCTTTGATAATCTGTCAAGGTTAGGGAATTATTCGACGTGATATCCACTGTTTGAGATCATACTGTGCCTGCAAGAACGTGTAAGTACGACTAGTAAAATTCTACTAGGACTCGTTCCCAAGTACTTTAAGGGTCGAGTTATGGTTGTTTACCTGAATTTTCGACACACGTTTAGATATACATTGAAAAATCAAAAATCAGTATTTTGATTATAAATTTTTCCATTACTTTGTCAACAGATGTGGAGGAGAAGTTTTATTTTGCATCCAACACGACTTCAGGGGTAAGTGTCAGTAAGAAATATTCAAATTTGTTGCTAACTTTTTATACTATGATTTTGATGTAAAATTTATCATTTGATAATTAGAAATATCATTCTTTTCTTTTTATTTTAATCATAATTATTCTACGAGAAAAATCTTAATAAAATGATATAAAATACATCTTTTTTTTAGTGTGTATTTTTTTTTTCAGCCGATGAGTTACTTATTGAAAATGACTATAAAAAAAGCAAGCATTCAAACACATAATTCAGTTTATTTTTCCATATTTTCTTTGCATTGAATAAAATTTTGCTCGTTGATAAACAGGATCATCATCAGCATCTTTTATTGTTATATATCGACTTAGTATAAAAGCAATAATTAATGCACAAAATGTCATAAAACCAAATAGAATATACCATGATTTTTCATCAAATTGTGTTGGTAAATATGATTGAAATGCAAGAACAAAATATTTTTCTATAGTAATATATGGTCGAGTTAAAAAGCTAAGTAAAACATTAATTAGATGGAATATCATAGCTATGATCTAAAAAAAAACGAAGCAAAACTATAGTACGATTTTATTATTTATTTCGTGAAGTTATATTTGTTTTTTTTTTATTGTAAGATAGCGAAAAAAAAATAAACAGGAATCAATTACATAACATGTTTAAAATCTGAATCTATTGAAATATGTTCTGATACGTTATCAATATTTCCAAGTGATTCAGATTGTTGATTCGTTGTTAATTTTGATAAATCGTTTGTTTCACGTGCTGATTGTAAATTTTCAAGTTCTTGTAATAATTGACGATGTTTTAATTCAAGTTGTTTTTGACGAAAATCATTAAGAACTTCTAACTCTTCACGTTCTTCAGCTAGAGTAGAGAAAAACAAAAAATTCTTTCAAAACTTTACTAAAAATTCATTCACATTTTAATTTTTCTTTTGCACATAAGTGAATCTTACTATAAAAACAAAATAATCTTATGATAGATTTAAATCAATGCTATTCTTATTTTGATAACACAAATTTAATATTAGATATTGATTGTCATCCTACGTTGGTGTGTATGGGTGAAGAGAAAGTCAGAACTTACACCGATATCCTTAAACTCCGTATATATCAATGATTTAAATCTTACCAATAAAAACATTTTCTGTTGTTGAATGTTCATCTTTAAGTTCTGCTATATGATCAAATATAAGACCATCAACTTTTAAATCAATCAAACATTTCGATACATCTTTATTATCTAAAATTAATCAAATATTTTATTCTTTTCTCTTAAAAAAAAATATAATCACTTACTTGCTTCATCACCCCAAATAAATAATAATTTTCCATTATTTTTCACATGTTTTACAAAATCTTTATCCGAAAGAATATCTAATGCTGGTGCAGCTAAACCTGATAAATGTTCAGCAATAATAAAACATAAACCAATATTAATTGACCATGTTCGTACATCTAAAAATTGTGGCCAATCACCTTTATCACCTTGTGTTAAAAATAATACAGGAAATAATGTTTGTTTACGACGAAGCATTGATGCACAATCAGGATCAAATGTTGATAAAACAATAACACGTTTACCAGCTATTTCAAATTGAACAAATGTAAAAAAAACAAATAATAATAATACGAAGAAGAAAAAAAAAAGTTTTCTTTTTATTTACCATAAGTAATAAGACAACGAAGAATACAATCGATATATTCATTTCTTTCAAAAAAATAATTTTGTTCACAACCACCATGTCTATATTGCATAGCATATTTTATTTCAACATTAAAACCAAGATGAGGATCAAGTTGTTCTAATAATTCTTGTAATGTTGGAAATAAAGAACGAAATTTTTCTTGATTAATTTGTTCATCATCATCATCAAATTCATCTTCAATTTTACTAACATCTGTTTTACTAGCATGATAAATTTTTAATGATTGTAATTGTGGTAATGTTAAATCTTTAACTGGTACAACAAATAATTCACCTTGTTGAAATTTACGTTTAAGTGTTATAGCAACTTGAAAATCATGATAAACAACAGGTATTTTATCTTTTGATAATTGTACATCAAATTCAACAAAATCAAATCCAAGTTGAAATGCATCTCGAAATGAAATTAATGTATTTTCACTAACAAATTTTGTTTGAACTGGTCGTGTTATTGATGATATAGATGAATTTGAGGAAGAATTATTTGATACATTCGTTGAAAGATCATTTGAACGATGACGATTTAAATCAGTTGATTGATATTTCGATGAACTATGTTCAACATTTATTTTACCTGAAATTTCAAATTTTACACAATTTTTCACAATAGAACTTGAGTCTGTACTTTTATTTAATATTCGAACTCGAAACAAATCCGAATTGAAACTCATCGACATCCGATAGACACTTTCACAGTCACAATATGATTTTCAAGCTTTTATTTTATATGAAAAACTATATTATTTAGTTGATTCCAAGAACAGCAACAATAAAAAAAAAACAAATGATTCAGAATTCATTTGGCGTATTGAATATGTAAAATTGAGTCAATTGACATTCACTTTTAAAATAATACTGAACAGGAGTCTAAGTATATGATATATATTTCTTTTTTTTTTGTTTTCAAGGTAAGAAAACAGTGGAAAAAAAATTGTATACTAATGTTTTGTCAAAATTACTTACACAGGTTTTGCACATTGCAATTAGACAAGTACGCTTCTTATTTTTTCAGTCCAATTAATAATTCGACTTATTTCTTATGCTAGATTTTTCAAATATTTAAAATATTCAACTCATGATCACTATAATAAGATTGAATCAATTAATTATAAAAGTGTATTTCATGCATATAGATAATCTCTATTATTTATGACCAAAAACAACATCAAATAATACAATTTTATTGCATTGTTTTTTTTTCTTACCTAAACCTCTATGACCAACATTCACTGGTCTTCGACCTTCACGCCAATATTTTGATAGTGTAACGAGAAATTTTTGTTGAATACCTTTTAATGGTGTAATTAATAAAATATCTATTTTAATTTGTCCTATTCTAGAAACACAAAAAAAAATATTCATTTAAAGCTTTAATAATGAAAGATAATACGAACGGATTATGTTTGAGTCCAATAATCGGTACAGTTCGATTAAGATGTTTATTATCAGTTAATTCATAATTAGAATGTATGGGTAAAACATATGCAAATCCTATATGATGTGTTAATGATATTGGTTCATCAACAAGATAAAAATCAATATGATAAACAACATTTTCAGGTTCAAATGTTTGAATTTTAACAATAATATAATCATCTTTTTCAAGTATTGCACCATAATCATTTTGAATATTTGTTTCACAACCTGATAAATGTAATATAGCTGATTGAATAAATACTTTTGATGTTCGTGTATATATTTGATTTAATGAATCTAATGTTATTTCTTCATTTTCTTGTTGATATGTTAAATCAATTGGAGAAACTTTTAATGATAATGTTTTATTACGTAATTTTGTTGACCATATTTGTAAAGAATTTGAATGAAAACGTAATTGTATTTCTGATTGACCTATTAACCATCCAATATCAGTACGACATATATTTTTATAATAACCAAATATGGCTGGATATTCTTCTAATTGTTCATTATTAGTAAGATTATTCGTATCAATTGAATTGAATAATAATTCTTGTGCTTCTTTAAATGTTTCCCCTATGTAAAGAAAAAAAAAAAAAAGAAATATTTTTGTAAGAGAAAATAAAGTTAAAACATACATTTTTTTGATAATTAAATTCATATTATCATCAATTCGAATAATTTGCGCAATAACATATCGATAGAAAGTTTTCCATGTCCATTGATTTTAATATTTGTTGACCATATTTCACCATCTTCTGTTCGATCAATACGATTTAATGGTATACAATGATTTGGTATCCATTCACTTAATTGTTCACATGAACCAGTTACAATCAATCTACAGTTAATGATATTATACTTATTCGATCGACTGCAATTTATTTGAAGACCCACACATAGACTCTACTTAAGTTTCTTTTTTGTAAAAATTGTTTATTTATAAAAGGAATATATTATTAAAAATAAAATATTTGATAAATAAAAAAATTCTTCGGGTTACACGGGGGCAGGGCGGAGCCCGTCGCAAAAATGGCGAGTCGGGCGGGTCGGTCCAAGAAGCTGACTGTGATGGGTACGGGCGAAGCGGGCATAGATTTGCCGGGGCACAGGCGAAGCGAGGGCTCTCATAAAGAATATCCACGGGGTTCGGGCGTGACTGGTTTGTGCATTTTACGGAGCCGGTCCCGCGGGGCATGAAAAATCAATGTCCCACACATCTCTGGTTTAAACTAAAAAGATTATATTAAGATAACTGGATAGTAAAGTTGGAAGTACCTACCTCTCAGTTCGCAAGATGTTAAAACTGCATCCTTAGTGAAACAT